CATAATTCCGCGCTGTAAAACGCTGAACCTCCGATAGTTCGAGTCGCGTGAGAAAATTAAAACGACACCCCGTGCATGCGTGCGCGTGAACGCGTTAACGATCGCGTAATAACGCTAAAGGTGGGCAAGTCTGCTGCCATTAATGACCGTTAGGCTCGTTCCAGACGGCATTAAAACGGCCTCATTACGATAATAAAGATGCACCTTCCTTCGGGGACGCCTGTCATCTGCGATTTCGTCGCTGCCCTCGGGTCTGCGTATAATCCGAGGACTGGAGAGCCGGCTTCCTCGGCCTCGCGGCAGAAAACAGGTGACTGTTCCTTTTGGTAACTGTTGTCGTGGGAAAATGCAGATTCCTTTAACGAACGCTTCCTGCCGGCCTGCCGTTTCCTTCGCGCCTTTTACTTAGGCGTCGTCGACTCGGCCTCTCGAAACAAATTCGAATTTCAAACACGCGGCTTTATAATATTGATCTCATGAATAACATTATTGTTCGTCACTCGCCGGTTCTCATGGATTAAACAGCTGCGCGCGATGTGCAAATAAGGAGCAGAGAAACGCGGAGGAAGAAGAAAGTATTCATACGCTGTTTCCTTTTACTTTCGACTAACAGCGGAGACGGAGTTTGCGTCAGCCTTGATGAAAAGTAAAATTCATTCTAACTCGATAGAAAGATTCAACCTTTTCTAACCCTTCACAATACGAAGCCTATTCGTACATTATCATTGCAAACTATAAAATTTTCTCATTAAATACATCACATTTCTATCAGCGATTAACGAAGACAATGACTTTTCGTTTTATTCGCGTATCACTGATCTACACGGAAATGTTTCCATTCGTACTGCTGCAGGAAAACGATTAAATTAAAGGGATTTTCAAAGAGCAGAATCGATTAGCATTACAAAACACTTGTACGTACAACACGCGACAACGAACGTGCGAGGGACGAGAGAGGAATAAAATAATCTCGGGCGGCATCGCATCGGTACGCCTAATCGACGTGGTACGAGCAGGTACACGGTCCCCATCGACGGCGTATAGGCGCGTTCTAAATACACGTTAGAAGCGTGTAGCCACTCGGTCGTTTAATCAGACGCCGCAGGCGAACTTCCATGTCGAACCGTGAATATCGGACCCTCGTATCTCGGCCAGATAAAAATCGCCAAGGGTAATTTCGGCGTCGTGCACATGTCGCGTCCCATCCGGCCTGCCTAGCGGACTAACCGACCGCGGGGATCCACGCCGAGGAAACGAAGAGCGCGCGTTATCGTTCGACGAGGATCTATCGATCTCTACGCAGCGGCGATCGCCGCGGAGCTTCTAATCGGCGGGCCACTTAGTCGCCGGCACAATTTGTCGGAAGACGTACGAATCGAGCGTCGACTCGAAGGGAGCACGGGAACCACAGCTGTTCCGCCGATTCGATTGGAGATCCTCGACGCGTGAACGGCCAACCGAAGCTAGGACTCGCGCTGTATAATTTCAACGTTTATTTTTAGAAATCATACAGAGACGACGGATTCTCTTTTCTCTCGTTGGGGAATTCAGTTAAAATCCATACCGTGTAATTTTTACGATCACCTTTGGACAGTCCGCGCGGTTCAAGGTTGATTTTCTTTTCAACGGGAAAGTGAAATTACGTTCCAACGAACCGTAAGAGGAACAAGTATAACAGCGCCGATGAAACTGCGCCCGATTACCTTCGGAGATGGAGGGACTTCCTGTCAGCGAACATATTTTTTCTTCAGTTCCGCCGCGTAATGGAAGCTCGCTCCGTGATCAAGAGGTGTCTAATCTGCCCCGTTGATACCGATCTACAATTTGCAGGTGCGCCCCGGCGTCCTCCGTGCATCATCGGCGAAAGGTGGCCACTCGCGGTAACGAAACGCGACAGGTTCTCGTTGCGTGAACCAGCGATACCCGTCGCAAACAATGTCGTTATCGTCGCATCGCGACGATGTTGTAATTTACACGTAATTTCGGCCGTTCCCGTGGAACCCGGCAATTCGTTGTAGGTTAAGTACCCCGGGCGAACCGCGCGCGCGCGCGCGTCTCCTTAAACCTCGAGAGGGTTGGAAATTGCTAAATACCTTGATAAGAAGCGTTCCGCACCCTTGTTGTCGCAGCGAATTACCATTCGCGCACTGTACTTATGTCATTCCAGGGAAATTTGTTCGAGCTTCCGTTTAGAAAACATGATATTAACTGCACGTTCTCGTCCCTCTTCTGGTATTCTCCTGCAATTATCGAGGGTCACTTTGGTTTGTTTTCCTCTGGTACACCTGGTATTAATCATACGTTTAGCTGAATTATTAAATGCGCGTCTTAGTTTTTTGCGGGCAACAGAAAGATCTACTTAAACCGTATTAACCTCGGGGCGGGGGTAAAAAAATTACTCTCCGCTCTGTTTGCGTTTCTATACCGCGATCGCGCGGAAATAAACAGGTACGGTGATAAATTGCGGATCCCAAAATTCACTCACGATCGCGGCGCGAATCAAACGGGCGGCGGTCGGAATGGATGTGATTCGAAGTTAAACTCGCACCGTTATCGTTAAAGCAAATTGCAAGTACCACGCGGTGCTGGTTTCGCCGCGGCGGAGCCGAAGGGGGAAAAAAAATCACGGCACCGGCATTCGTCAAGACAATTATTGCAATTATTGCCCTCGGTTGCCGAGTTCTCAACAACAATAATGCTACCCTTAACCGGGCAGAATTTTAATTACCGAGCATTAAACGGCCCCGCGAAAGCTGTAACCTGGCCGGCGTGAAATTTCTCGATCGTGAGCGGGCCGCGGCGCGTGCCGTTTAAAAATGATTAATGGCGGCTCATTTAAATTCGAACGAGACGTTCGCGCAGCGACGCTCCTCCTTCCAGTGCGAAGTTTCCACGACAAAACATTTCAAAACTTAACGAACGTTTACACGGATGTTTTTACTACATTCTAACACTCGAAGAAAAAAAAACGATATTCTCGCTTCTAATAGTCAGCGCGTATTACAGTCTAGATGCCTGAAGTGCTAACGTCCTTTAAAACTAAAATTACCAACCAATCGAATGAATATTTATTTTTCTATAAAAACTTCACGAGTATACTCATCGAAATTTCGCTTTGACTTACAATTCAGAAATTACTAAATCGTCAATGATTTTTCAAAGCATCCGTCACCTTTTGAATAATTGTAAAAGAATTCAGGAATCTGCCATTTTGACCTGTTTCGTGGCTTCAATGTCGAGCATCGGTCGTTACGGCTTTCTTTAATAACAGGTCTATCCATCTTCCGAAACTCGAAGGAACAAGTTCAGAAGTTTCATTGTCGCGGTTACAGCGCCGGCAAGTAGCGAAACACATGGCGGGGCGGGAGACGCGGCATGAGGGTAGGACTCGTCCGGGGGTGCGCGGGGGATCGATGGGCGAGCCAACGTTAACCGAAGACCGCCTTCTCGTTCTTTCTCCCATTTTCTCCTTTTTCTTGCCTCCTGCCTCCTATCCTTCTCTTCTGCTCTCTGGCCGTCTACCCGCCGCTCCCTCCCCCTCCAACCCTCGTTCTCCCACGCTACACCTGTCGTGCGCGCGGTCCGAACAACCGGAGAGGTGGTAGTAAAGTTCTAGTCGGCGGAGTACGCGTACTCGACACCGCGCCGAGCCTGGAAGCCACGCCAAATCCGTTTATCTCGTTCCTCTCGGCTGCTGACTTTTTCCCCTTTCCCAGACGAAGAATGCCGTCGAATCTCCGGGGGATGATTTCAGCTTTTTCGCACCGGAGGCTGGAAACGGTTGTCATTGATACGAGAACTTATCTCGAAGTTGATGAAAGAAGCTTTATCAAAATCGTCTTAGTACGATTGTACGTTCGTCTCTAATTCCGAGAGTCTAGAGTCGTTTTAAATGATTCGCTAGATTTTCCAAAGTAAAATTCGTTCGACTGTTACATCGAAAGAAATAATAATTTGAACTGCTGAACGTTTTAACATTACCAAGTTTCAGATCAGAAATATTTTAATTTTTAATTCACGATCGACGAATAGCCAGATTTCGAAGTAATTGCGTAAGTAATGTCGCCAGAGTCTCGCTCTCGAACGGAGAGATTCAACGCGGAGATTTATCAGGCCGACCCGACCCGAGACCGCCATATTCGACCAGTTCCGAGTTCCACGAAATGAGATACAGCAATCGAAACACTGGCTCGCGATGTTCCGCGCCGCGATTCCGCGTAAAGAGATGATCGCCGCGTGCAGGAAGATGAAAAACCGTGGACCCCGCCTACGACCTCGGCCGGCTCGACCTCGTTTTCTGCGAAAGAAATCTCCACTCCGGGGCCGAGGGACGCCGGCTCGTTTATCAGGGATCTTGCGGGCGTGCACGCGCACGCCTACCAATCCTCGTGGTGCCACGAGGAACCGCACGAAGAAGAGGGCTCGCTGCCGAACGCGAGGAAGGGGAAAGGTTGCGAGAGGTTGCCTGAAATTTCGCGACCCGGCTGAATTCCCCGGCAAACAGACGAAAAAGTCCGCTGACATCGGGCCTAGATAATTAGAAGTGTCCCGGAATGGGGATCACCAAGGAGCAACGAGATGGTTAATTATACGTACGTAAGTATACGTGGCCACGACATGCACGCCGACCTTTAATCGTCCAGCGAAATTGGATTAGCACCTTCGATTCTCTGGATCGCTAAGGTCGGATTGAGAATTAGCTTAATGACCGACATGCGTGGAGTCGGAATCCTGCGAGGATTCAAATAGCATCGTGACGCATTCGAGTCTATCGATGTTAGACAGAGATTATTTTTCTGAATGATCAATTCGAATTTAAAATAGATATCGAACGACTAGACTATCTTTGTATTTTCGAACGTTCTATTATTTCGCGAATTTGAAGGATTAAAGAATTATTAATGGTTTCACGTTTGTTCTATAATAGGGTAGAAATTGTACAAAGAGGTGTGAGTGACTTGAAGCACAGGTCAGGCGTATTGATTTCGATAGGTATTTATTTTCATAATGATGAATGTTCTTTATAATCGATCTATAATATCATACATCATAGCATTCCGTTTATACATAATTACAATTGTAAATCTGGTTCGCCCTTAGGAGTGTAATTAGTAGTGGGTTCGTCGTGTGTCGCGAGCTGCCTTAAACGCCGAGGCGGGAGTGTAAAATCAGTTTAGGCTCAGGCGCGTAGAAAAAACGTTCCACCTCCCGTTCTCGTCCCTGTGTTCGTGATTCCTGGCCGTACAAAAAGAAAAAAATCGACGCGCATGCTACGAAAATAAGGTATACAATGTATGTACAACCGAAGAGAAGAATCGACGAGGAAATCGGCGAACGGGTCCGCCGTCCCTTGAACAGTTCCGCTCGACGCGTTCGCGATCGTTTCGACTCTACGAGAAAAGGAAGTCTCCGCGGCAGTGCCCGCTACTGGCCGCTGGTACAAGTGTGTGTCGTGTAGGATCCCTAGGAAACAATAAATAAAATCTATCTATTCTCATTTATCTAGCGCGAGACGACGTCCGTCACTTTGATTTCGTTCAGTGGGTCGATCGGTGCCCGCGTACTCGCTTCGCTCGACGATCAATCGGCTCCGTTCTCATCGCTCTCGCTCCGAAAACAGTTTCAGTGTTCTACTCGTCCGATTCACCTTGCCGCGTTCACAGCGCGTTCGAAAAAAAGGGAACGCTGAAAATCACAGGAACCGGCTGTGTATCTATATTTTGGGCATCATTCAGTGTTGGTACGCCAATGAATCGGGCCGCCATTGTGTCGCGACTCGAGTCGAACTCCTCTGTCCCGACGATCTCGCGATTCGATGTTCTCCGCTTCGATCGGTTCGTTCGGGAATCAAGGATACGACGATCGTGGTCGTTCCGTCGATGAAATACGATGTCGGCCGGAGCTGCGCGAACAAAATGGCGTCCCCCCAAGCGGTGAACGCGCCAACGGCTCTCTCGATCACCTTCTTCCACCCCTCGTCGATGTTTCACCGATCCGCACGGATCGGGGCTCGCCTTTACAAAAACTATCGTATCCCGAGATTCTCGTGTCGCGTCGGTCGCGTCGATAGCTTAATTGATTAGATTACGCGATACATCGAAAGGTACTATGTTTATATATACAGCGGTAGCAATTGGATTACTGATTAAATAGTGGCATATTTACTAAACGTTACGTTATCACAACGATGATAAAATCAGCCGGAAGACCGGAATCGTTCGTACGATCTTTCCGATCCTGCTCTCCTCGGCCGCCGCGCCGCCCGCCCGTCGTCGCCCCCTCTTCCTCCTATTAATTACCAGCGACAGGAGAGATTCAGGCGGGTAAACGAGTGCTTTTTACCTTTTCAGTCGACCAGTTTTCTACTCTGCTTCGTGACACGCGGACTGGGAACGGGACGGCAACCACGCGGAACCGCGCGCTCCACGCGACTCGTTCATCGAACCGCGACGAATTCCCCGAGGACTCGCGAATTTGATTTATTTACTTATTGACAATTAATTCGCGCGGCCAAGTGCTCATCGTTACAAGTGGATTCCTTTTAGCATGAATATCCCAGCTATCCGAACAGTCTTGTCTCTACACAGGCTCTATTGCATTGCGTCGCGGACGTTCAACCGAGAAACATCGTCGGAATTCAGGACCAGCGCAGCTGCGGACGATGGGGAATGAATTTTTCGACTCCAGCATCGTTGCTGTCGACTTCCGAATTGACTAGATTGGAGCACCTTAAGTTTCATGAAGATGAACCGGGGAAGTGAGGGGAGGAGAGGACGTAGAGGAGGAAAGGGGAACGCATTTGTACTGAATTTATGCAGACGGAACGAGCCGTCTCGATCGTCCAACGAGCCGTTCAACGATCGATCGACTACGCTCCGGCTGTAAAGGAACTCATCGTTGAAGACAACAGGATCGGACGCGATGCGTTTGGAGGGGAAGCCGTGGAAAAGAAATTAATGAAACGAAAATTGAGATTATTCGGTCGGCCGTCCGACTCGGTATAGTAGTTTCTCGATCACTGAACTGCACTGCAGTCGGTTACGCGACCGGAATCGAATCCTCGCGGTGCGGAAGGCGTTACGATCGCGAACCCTGTCAACGTGGTAGCCAGCGGCGCACGCCGCGCGGTGCGTCCCGTCCGATATTGCACGTTTATAGTCGAACCACGGGGTCGATGTTCGGCTGGAGCCGCGACCGCCCTGCCTCCCACCGACCCTCCCTAATCGAGATCATTGGCGATCGGTCTGAATCGTCAGAATTTTGGCATCACAGTAGGGGGTAGTAGTCGCGGCCGCAGAAGGAGATCGGTCACGAACCGCTGGTCGACAGAACCGGTAGATCGCGGTGAGCCTGTGGGTCCCTCGAGTGGGCATCTCTGACGGCCCTGGAGCCGAACACTCGGTCGCAGCCGGGTATCGTACACCTGGCCTCCTCCTTTCGGTCCTCGGAGCCCGGCGGGGACAACGGGGACCCGGGACCGGAAGGGTGCCTGTTGCCCTGCTCCTGGGACATCCTGGTGAGATGGTTCAAGTGCTGATGGGTGAGCCCGTTGAGTCCGGCCAGGTGCGAGGCGAACGAGGACAGGCCCGGGAAGGTGGTCCCTAGGTGGGGCGGCAAGAGGAGAGGATGCGGTAGCGGTATTCTCGCCGCCAGATCGACCGCCGACGGTAGTCCCGGTGTGAGCGGATAGGCGCCGAGCGCGCCGATGCCGGCGTCCGCGTACAATCTCGCGAGGAACTCGTTCCGCAACAGGGGGTTCATCTGGGGATCGTCCAGTCGCGGGGACATGCTAGGCGGCAGGCTCGACGACAACGACGGACTCGACGACGTCGACAACAACTTCCGATGGAGATTCAAGTTCGCCGAGTGTCTGTCCCGCGATCTCTTCGATGGGAACGCCGCGTTACAGCCGTCCACGCTGCACCTGTGCATCAGCTTCAGGTGGACGTTCTGGTAATGCGTCTTCACGCCGAAATGATTCTGGAACACCTTGCCGCAGGCGGTGCAGCGTCGCGGATTCTCCCGGTCCAACGGCACCTCCTGGGTGCTGACAAAGCCGCCGTTCTCGTAACGAGCGTAGGTGATCAGACTATTGTCCATATCCATGGCCGCTGTGGAGGGTGAGGCGCTGGATGAACGAAAGCCACGTGAGGAGTTCTCCATGGTGGTGTCCTGGGGCGTCGTGAGGCTGACGGGGCTGGTAGAGTCGCGGCCAGACCTCGAAGCCGCCCGCTGCATCCCGGTATACTGCATCGCGCGACCCTGCGACAAGGACTCGAGTTGACGCAAAGTGTTGGTCGAGGGGTCGAGGGAGAGGTCGTCGGCCGTCGTCGGACGGCTGTCGACCGAGCTCGGGGCACGGGAGGAATCATCGGGACGCTCACCTTCTTGATTACGCAGCGCGTCGTTCACCTCCTCATCATCATCATCCTCCTCGACCTCCTCCATCTGCTCATCCTCGTCATCATCATCCTCCTCCTGGTTCTCATCCTCCTTCGATTTCTCCTCCGTCGCGGGCTCTTTCTTCACGGACAATCTCGACGGCTCCTCGTCCTTCGTCGTCGTCGCGTTCTCTTCGCATACGCTCTTCAGCCTGTCGCCCGGGTCGCACGGGTCCTTCGTGGTCGTCGCGGCCGGCGCGGAGGGCTGCGCGGCCTCCGCGGCGCGAGCCTCCGGCGTCTCGATGGACGACGTCTTTGGTTCGGGACTAACCATCCGTCTCTTCGGCGACTTCGCGCCGCTTCTCGAGCTCAGATCCCGCGGATCGTCCTGAGGTAGGTGGTCCGCGGTGGCGTCCTGCGCGGTAACCGCGTCGCGACGGGCGCCGCTCATCATCCACGCTCCTCTGTTGCACACTTCCGGCGAGCGGGAGTTGGACTCTTGGTCGTTGAAGCTCAGATTCTTCGGGGAGTTCGGCGAGGTTTTCCGTTCGCCAGCTTCTAGCCGGGACATCGACATGTCCTCCGGCTCGCTCTGAAAGTCGTTCATCGACGTGATGCTCGCGCTGTCGGACAAGCAGCGTTGCTTCACCCTGTCCTCGTCGTTGGAGGAGTCTCCGTCGGTCGACGAGGAGTGCAGCTCGGTCAGAACCGCGCACCGTATCGGATGCTGCGATTTCCTCTTCCGCACACCTCTGCTGTGCAGGGACGTCGAGTTAAGGGAGTGCTGGCTCATGGAGGAGCTCTGCTGGTCGACCGTGCCCATCGAGTCGTTGTCCTCGTTGCTGTCGGGGTTGCTCACGAGATCCTCGTCCGCGACGTCGCCGAAGTACAGCTTCGATCGCTTGGTCAGACTAAAGTCGGCGGGTTGCTCGTCGTCCTCCTCTCCGGGGCGCAACGGTATCCTCGATGGTAGATTACTGGCGTCGTCTTCCGCGACGACCACGATACCGCCGTCGTTGTCGTCGTCGTCGTCGTCGTCCTCACCCTCCGCGACCGCGGTCGACGCTTGAGTCGACGGCGACACGGTGTCCGCTGCGCTACCGCTGGAGAACGATCCTTTCGTCGCGACGGTGGTGCTAGGCGTCTCGGCGGCGGTCGACATCGCCATGAAAGACGTGGTGAGCGCGGTCGTCGAGGAGAGGCTCGCGTTCACGCTCATTCGCTGCTGCAGCGCCTCGTCGTACGGCATCGTCTGGTCCAGGTGTTTCAGGTCCAGGCCGCACAGCGAGGTGGGGGGTCGCAGGTCGGGCGGGGGTGTCAGCAAGGGGAACGAGCCGAACGGTAAGTGTTTCAGTCCCATGGCGGGGACAGGTAAGCCGACTTGCGGCGGCAACACCGACACGTGCGCCATGGACGAACGGCCGTCGTGCGGCGAGATCTTTCGCCGCTGGTGCGGCAAATGCAGCTTGGGATTGGGGTTCGCGCTGTGTCTGTTGCGCGACCGTCTCGAGCTGAACTTCATGTTGCAGCCGAGCACCGTGCACTTGTGCATCTCGCGCAGGTGCACCGCGCTGTAATGGATCTTCAAAGCGCCCTTGTCGCAGAACGTTTTGAAGCAAGTCAGGCATTGCACCCTCTTCTTACCGGTGGTCGGGTTGATGAACGTTGTGCCGAGGTTCGGCGGTATGTTCGTGGACGCGCCCCATTGGCTGCTGGGCCGTTTCCCGGGCGAATGAGGCTTCCTGCCGGGGATACCGGGTGGCCTGCCTAACGGGGCGGCCTGCAGAGGTAACGGGGGATGGTGTCTGTGCTCGGCGGCGTGCTTCGACGCGGCGTCGCGTCTGCTGAGGTTCAGCGCGCTGTCCCAGTTCTCGTCGTCCTTCTCATCCTCCTCGGAGCCGAACTCGCTGCTCTTCTCGCCGCCGCTGTGCACGTCCGACGCCGTGATGCCCGTCACTCCGCCGGAAGTTTTGCTCATATGGGGCGGTGGGAAGTGAGCGGGGAAGCTAGGAGGCAGGGCACCGGAGGACACCGCGACGGACAACGGGTGGCCATAATTGAGCGCGGACGAGGACACGGGCGCGACGGGTGGCATGTGAGGCCTCTGGAGGTGGTTGCCCGTCGAGTGATGGGGCGGACTGTGCGGGCTATGGGTGTTCCTCATCGATTTCCGATTCT